ATGAGTATGACAAGAAATTGCGATAAAACGTCTCACTGATAACAAAATCTTGGTATATTGAGAATTCAAAATGTTCTTCTGGGATATTGTTTTTATATTTTATCACCGCTATCTGGCATTTATGACAAATAATCAGTCCGTAGCTTTTATTGCAGAATGCTGGGTGATGGTTTGATTTTACTACGAGGATATTCTCGCCATTCACGGACATTGACCTTTTCATTTTATTTACACTACTCTTTGGTTGCGCTTGAATTATTTAGGGGTGATTAATTGGCTGGAGAACCGAGAGCCCGACTTTATTAGCCACCTAAGCCAACTGGTTCTGAACGACCTTAGCGAACTGTGGATTGTGCGTTTTAAGATCCTCCAAATAGATGCACACTTCAAACAGAATACATCTGGACAAATTTAATCTGATTCCGGCATTGATTAGCGGACTGATTCCGCCATCATTACTCCAGGTTATTCCTGCTGATGACCCTTCATGTAAATAGCAATGTTTTTTGTCCTACTTTAATGGTTGACGACAAAATTCCAAGATCTGAACATTGTCAGGTATTTTTACGAATTCAGACGCTTCGCTGATCATCTGTTGTTATTGGTGCAAAATGAATTATCCGATATTTCTAAATAGGACGCAGCTAATGCATGGGTACCTCAAGTGCTCTAAGTAGACCGAAGCCGCCCCCGACCTTAAGGTGCACAAGCCGAAAGTTTGCCGCGTCCACAACACCCGTTCCCTCGTGCTGGTGTTTCGATGTCTCTCGAACCAATCAGTAGTCGCCTTCATCGTCATTGGTTAAATTTGGATGATGCATGTGCGTTCTCACACGTGGTGGTTTCTGGCACACCCGCCATTTATGTGCCTCGTTGTTTGTGTGCACATGCGCAGTTCCGCGTGTGTCTGCGTGCTTGTGTACGCATCACGGTGCACCTCACCCCTCCCCCCGCCCTCCAGCACCATGATCACCACCTGACATCTAGAAATTTGTGTACAAATGCGTTCGTTTGCTACTCACCTTTCATTAAAGGTTCAGTTTGGCGCCACCTCAGCTGCGTTCAATTTACTGGCGCCGTGCCAACCAGTGTGGCTTAAGTTTCGCAGATCACAATAATGTAGCATTTTTATTCTTTGCCTTCTTCGTTCACTCTTATACGCGCATGTCATGGGTAAAAATGTATCACCTGTAAATTTAAAGGTGCCTCATCTTGTTAGAATATTTATTGAAAAGTTTCCCTCGGTGATGCGAACCTTTTCTCTCTTGCTCCAGGGTAATGAACTTGTGCTAGTGTTTGATACATGTGGCCCGGGATCTAATGTCATTTTCCACCTTTTCTTCGAAGCTCGTAAAACAAGGGTAGATAAACTGAAGGTATTAATGTAACACATCTCTTGGTTTTATTTCGTTTGGCTTTAATAACGCGACCGAATATTAATGTGCGCAGAGTTTCAGGGTCCGGTATTTGAGTGCGTGCTTTTATTTCGGGCAAAAACTGCAATTGAATTTTTCGATTTCTGCCGCTTTACTGCTGAATCTTCGGTGAAAAAATGTTTACATTTGATCACAGCACAGACAGTCATTTGAGTGAGTATAGCCACTTTGGATTTACATTGCAGCTGCGCAGGCGAAGCTTAAGTTGCGTTGATCGCTGTTGAAAGCAGGAGGTCTCGCGCAGGCGCTGTGAAGGGAGAATGTATCAGAAATTGACCCACTTAAGCCTGAAATATGAGCAACACACAGGCGCAAATGCACACACACTCACTTGGCTGTCGTTTGCCAATCAAATGGAGTAGAGCGGAATGCGTGTTGTGGTTGAGGCTCATGATATTGGTACGTGGGCGCCCCACTTGCTAATTCTCTTCCCCCGCGCACGCGTGCACGTGAACCCTCCGCACTCAGGCATACGTCCGCCCGCCGCTCCCCTTGCTCCTGGCTATTATGGCTGTGCCTCAGACACGCCTGTCGCGAGGGTACCTTTTTTAGGGCTGTGCATCCTATCCCAGCATCAACTTCTCCCCACGTGGACGCCTCGTCAAAGGAGCACTCGTGCCTTGAACAAGCCCTCTTTAGCTGTACCGTACGACCCAGGTGTAAAAGATGATTCGCGCTTGATCATGCAGCCCAACAAATATCTGCTGCGTTGTCCATGTGGCTGAATCACGGTGCAGTTGAGGGCATTGTTTAGCTAATTCGATGCCTGTTTAACTAGTCGTTAGGTCTATCCTCTTTGCTCCCAATCTGGTAGAAATATGTGTAGATAAGTTGCAACAGATCATCAGCACTGCTTGTCCATTCCTTTTTTTGCATCTTGAGTCGGTAAATTCTCCCCCATTTTATATGAGAGTGGTTTTTCACGTCTGTGTGTGTGTGGAGGGAGGTGCTTTTTCTTTCACGTCCAAGCACTTAGCTGACAATTCCATCGGAGTGAGAATAAAAACCCCGGTGTGGGTTGGTACTGGTGGGTTTTAGGAAGGGTCTTTCATTCTATCATAAATCCAAAGATGGCAGGCATACACCTATTCTAAAAAGGATTGGTACCGGGTCCGCGTTTATTTGTGTAAGTGTGGTTATTTGCAAAGCTTCTGTTCCCATCATTTGTAGAAAATCAGCGTGTTTACAATTGTTTGAATTCGTCTAACATCCTTTGAATAAGAGGTATGGGTAAAGTGGTCATTATGCGCCTACAGTCGTGATCTTATTTTTACCACACAAATCAAATGCCCCACTTTGCTAAATAATACTGTTTATTTCGTTACAATTTTGAGAAATAGGTCAAAAACAGCCGTTAGCAACTTGATTTGAAGCCATAGCGCAAATAACACGCCGGCAGTACCAAATATCATGCGTAATCAACTTTTTAGGTAGGCCTTGTTATGCCACATCATATTGCTCCAACTCCAGAGATAGTTGCCAAGTGATTCCACTCATTGCGTTTCGGCTCTTGCACTGTTTCGATGTGGGTCTTCGTAGTGTGGATAGTATTTTTGAAAAATGGCTTAAAAAGAATAATTCAGAATCACTTATTTACAATAGGATCAAGGGAAGTGATTTCAAAATAGTGACTACATTATAAAGCAATTACCGGAAGTGTTTATACGTGGAATTGGTCAAGATCTTCTGATAAACTTGATCCAAAAACTCAATTTTGAGGCATGGAACCCGACTCTGTAGCTTTGACATACATTCGATACTTTATCGACATCAATTTTTTGACATCATTCTTCCTTCTAAATGTCTCATCGACCAAGTTATGTGCGTTTGGACAGATTGTATGGACCATGAGTAAGTGAAAAAAACATACTTTATCTCTTGAACTCATGTGCACGGTGTTTTTTTTTCTCGCGAACAATCATGTTATGCCTATTGTCGTACATTTCCTCAACCCATAGTCGGCTTCGTCCATTCGCGTAAACGTTTGGGTCTTTTCATTTCATGCCCACATTATGCTTTGAGAAATGACAATTATATAAATTAGAATAGTTTATTTGATGTCAAGGCTGCTCTAATTGTCATTGTCGCCCTTGCAGAAATTCGGTGCACTTAACGTGGCAACCAGAGGCACGATAGGAACAGAAACCGCAATGCCACGATTCGCGCGATTGAACAACTCCAAGGTTGTTCCCAAGTGGCACCAGCCCCTCTCCTTTTCCGACGACTTCAACAACGTGCTTCTAGTCGCCTTCGCATCCCAATTAACTGAACTTGTGGACTATGTCTCTGCGTGGAAGCCCAATTTCGAGGCTAAAAACCCGCTGATTCGTGGCACGGCCATCGTCTTCTACACTTTGGCTGAAGTAAGCTATCCAATTCCCCTTCGTCATCCAAGCATTTCCATGTTGGATCATGTGACCGTCTTCATCCAATGGCTTTTTGTTTAATAATTTTCAAATGGATGTCTTGACCTCAATTCGCCTTATTCTCAAGATTAACTGATTGGGCTTGTTTAGAGTAATTTAAAATCCTTCCTTCCCACGGTGTCTGGAAAATTGAGGGCCCTGATCGTACTCGTTCGAATGTAATTCGATTGACTCAAATATTGTTTATTTGCTCGTGACATTACTCTCTGTGGCAGTCATGAATTCGATGAAACCTATCATCTAGAACTTAGTGGTTTATATTCGCGCATCTTTACACTGAAGCTAAGATGCAATCTTCACAAAAAACTTGTGTCTATTACAAGTGGATATAGTGAAATTGGAGCATAAAAACGCAATGGTGACTTTGTTATATTAACTTTAGCTGTAAATTGGCTTTCTGTTGATGAAATTAGTAAATTCAGACACATTTGAACAGGCTGTTTAGCTATCTGATGTTCAGGGCTTGTGATATTTTTCCAGCTAGCTCATAACCCACAGGTTTTTAGCGTTTTCGTGCCCCCCATCCACGCCCCAAAATGGTTTTTTTACAATGCACTAAACTTTTCCTGTTTGATTGAGAACTTCGCATCAGCAATGAGTCCTTGCAGCTGCATCGAGTCCGGGGTGCTTTTCGTGAAACATCATGCGATATGAATTTTAGAACCTTTTCATTTAAAAGTCAAAGCTAGTACAAATAAGGCACGTAGACTTAAAAATGTATATCCTATATCTACTGAATCGGTTTCTTTCATAATGCAATTATGTTTAGCTGTTTTCCAAAAAGCACGCCTCAGTGATTCTCTTAGTATTTAAGTCTCCGACCATGGAACTTCCGCCCCCATGAATTGTTTTCTCTTACTTTGTTTTGGGTGCACTTCGTCTGCTTTTCCAATGACAAGACATCGTTCTTCGATTGAATATAAACATTGAAAGATGCATGAACTAAATACATAAATATATTAACACTTGACGTCGAAGCTGTTCGCAGGCTTGACAGTGATGGCGCTCATCATCAACGGGTAATCCTAAAAGACACGAGTTGATGCCAAATCGTGTACATCTCATGTTTCAGGTACGTATCGTAAAGCCGTATCGCTTGCGAAAAGTTGATTAGAGGGATCCAGCTCGGCATTCTTCAATTTCACTGCCAAGAGTAAAAAAACAACATTCCATGCATTGAAAGCTCAAAGCAATCGGTGCTTAAATCGTAATACACGCTCAATATTTTCTAAAATAACTGCTGAAATCACATCTATTGAGGTTTTGTCTTTCATGCACGATCCCCAAATTTCCGACCATTTTATTGAACTGCACCGTCCTAGACTAATAATTGCAGTCAAAGTTGGTAAATTTCCCACTACTCACGATTTAAATCAGCTCGCTCGGAAGTGTTACTGTAGAAAGGTATTTGAGACGTGTTTATAATGAAAATGCGCCTCCGTAGTACGGAAATGCGAGCATTATCAATGTTCACTTTGTTCGTTTTCTTTACCATTTGCCACATGGATACGAAAATGATCCGTTGAGCAAGTAATTTCCCAGTCCTTGAAGTTTTTTTTGCAGATTCATCTCAGTTTTCCCATCCGCCATCCACAGATTGACGCGATGTTCGGACTGGTGATCCACAATTGTCTGATTGGGAAAACTTCAATAGGTCCCCCTCACTTTCTTCATGGTTATCCTAAGAAATGCGACAAGGATGGTCCACTGGTGAGCTATGCTGTTTTGTCGCTTTATAAGTAACTTACAATCGTTTACCCGAATGGCGACCATGTAAAATGGAAGCCAGTGAAGCTCTATCGAAGGTGGTCAACGCTGAGCTTGAACTTTTTAGTTCATACTGCGTAAACAAATTTTTCATATCTCAGACAAAGATACCCCTTGGAACAGGTAACCGATAAAGCTGTAGAAATTTGCTAAAGGAACTTTAGCAGTCATTAGAGCAATTATCCCATTTTTTGTTCAGTTGCTCAAACCATAGGTGTGTTAAGGTGGAGATCGACGGTATGCTGCTATTGTGTTGTTTTTTTTGTGTGTGATTCGTGATGCCAACCTGAAATCAGTGCATCCCATTTCTTTGGAGAATTCGTCCCAAATCACCACTTCCTCTCTCTAGCTGCCACTGCTGAAGCTCAACCACTACTGTCCCACGAATCCCATGAACTGGCCGATAAGTGGGTCAATTCAGTCGGAGCGTCTGTCCGCTCCTCCGATCCTTATGCTGGACGTTGATGCGACAGGCATTGCCATCACCAGAGTCGCCGACGCCTTCACCGTCCTCGTGGTCACCACAGACGAGGGTGAGTTGCTCAAGGTACGTCCTTGTGGGTCCCATCCTCTCGCCTTGTTTGGAGCTACGATTCGTCCTGCCTTACCTGACAGTAAAGCCATTTTACAACATTAATCAACGACGCTTACTTTTTCTTACTTGAAGTACATTTTACTTATGCATAATTGGTCTATTCAAGCAAATTACTGTTTGGACTAGACTAAAAAGCAGTGAAATACGACTTAATAGGTGGTTCCGTAATCAGGGATATCGGGATTGGCTTAAAAAGTACAAACTTTTGATTCACTCATCAATTGGGGAAACTTATTTAAATTGCAACATGAAGTCTGTTCATTGCCGCCATGTTTGAGGTGGCATACTAAAGATGGACGAAGAAGTTCATATCTCGCATTCCGTTGAGCCACTTTTGTCATTTTTAGCATACTATCAGTTTGTTGTTCTTCCCACCCCAAAATATGCTTTGTTCTGCTGTGCACGAATGAAAAACTGTGGTACCCTGTGGTTTTAAGACGTGGCGATGGTTTCATGTCTCATTTGTGAATTGGTGTCTAACCCTGATACCTTTCCGCCACTTAGTACGCCGTGGAGGAGGACGGAGAGGCTCGACTGATTACCTCCAAGCAGCTAACATCGCGCCGAAAACCGCTTCGAGGTCTCACATTGGATGACACAGGACTTGTGGCCTTTGCCATCTCAGACGAAAAGGTCAGTTCCCCTAGTGTTTTTGTTACTCTTGCTTCTTTTCATACAGTCTTTTCTCATCCCTTCATCGACCACCTTGGTACTTTTCACGCTTTGCGTATCTTTAAGTGCTCAATGTTAACAAGTCAGAATTTGACGAGCATGATAGAAATCATGGTACCGTTCATTAGTGTTTAAGAATCTAATGCCTACGCAATGCTTGAAAAGACAACAGACATAACAAAATGAAAATTAAGCATGAGTGAAATCACTAAAGTTTGATGTTTGTTCGCCCTTAAACACTTTTCATAACATACCTACCTAATGTGGGGGTACGATTGAACAATATCATTTACCTTTAATAATGACTATCACAGTGGTGTTGTCAGAGTCCTCACTGTCACGTTTTTTGTATTCATGCTTACTTGAGAGCTTTGGTAAGGGTTGTTCCCCATTGGAATTCAGGTTGTGTTAAAACACTTCCAATCTTGGCAATTGTCTTTCCGATTATTGACCATCATTGGTTTGGTCATTCGTTGAATTGATCGGATAGGTTGTAACCATGCTTCTTTGACCGGTGTGGGTATTTTGGTAACTTGAGGCGATTGGTGCTTGATACCTTTCATCCTGTTTTATTAGGTGTAACTACAAGCGTAACCATGACGTGCGCTGTAATGCATTTAAGGTCTATCGGGTAGAGCTGCAGAACTGCTCAGCACTGGACAGTTGTGGGGCCTGCCTGGCGCTGCGCGACCCTTACTGTGGTTGGTGTCTTGCGGAGGGCGTGTGTACTCACAAGGCTGCCTGCGGCACCCCCTGGCTCCCCTACCGAGCTTCTGCATCTAGGTGACCCTCTCTTCTACTCCTCTCATGATTTCCCTCATTTGCTACTAGTTGCGCTGATGATACGTTAGTGTCAAACCTAAATAAGTTTAGCGGTTAAGGGTTATATCGATTTCTCCATCCAAATCGTCTATTTCGCCATAATGAACAAGGTGGAAGTGGTTTAACATATTAATTTGATGAAAATGTCTCAATAAAACTGCATGATTGTAAATTCTTCCATGCTACTTGTCTCCAACCTTCGGAATGTATATAAGATTGGTTTTCATGAAACGCCTCTGAGCCTCGCGGTGGAATTCGTTACGGCATCATTTGATTGGAAAGATAGCCACGCAGTGGAAATTTTGGATGAGGAAGCAGAAAAATTACAATGTTTCATATTATGTGACTGTAGAATTGTTTTGGGTTTAAAATTTGCGAATCACAAAAATATTCCGATAAGTTGTTTTGCCGTAAAAATTCCGTCGTAAATATGATCCACACTACTGATGAAAGATATCCAAACGCTAAGCATTATTAATTCCGCTGTAAAAGTTTAATTCGGTTCTTATAACTGCACTCGATTTTTGAAGACTCGCTCAGTGCGTGATTGTAATCTAAGTGATGATTCCAGACATGAAAAACCACTTTTGTTTGCCTTTTTGGTGGGCTCTTGTTGAACTTAACACTTTTTGCCAACGTGAGTGTGTGATAGTACTTTAAGGTAGCGTCCTTTTTTCTTAGGTGTCCCAAGATCGCCCTGGTGGATCCGCCAGGGATGGATATCAACCAACGGGGAGGCTCTGTGTCAGGCTTGAGTGTGCTCACACTGCGTCCGAGTGCTATCCTCTCGGCGGCCTTCACGGCGTCCCTCTCGACGGCGACTGGTTGGTTGGGGCGACAGCGACGCCTTCTCTGCGCCTTCCGCTATCCCCACCCCAACGACAGAGGTGGGGAGGTGGAACCGTCGCGTCGTAGGGGACCCCTCTATGTGCAAACAGAGGCCAGTCTCATCCCTGGCTCCAGCGACATCAGCTGCAATTTTCCTGAACCCACCGAACTGCCAACTTTGGGTCGTGGCGAGCGTAGGTCTTACTTAATTTTTATATCTGACGTGTAGTAGAGGTTTCGATGCTTCTCTCGCATCGCGATGGGCGAATCGGCCAATTTTCTTACTTCTACGACAGAAGAGAAACTAATTGTGTCACTGAGATTGTAGTCTTGAATATTTTACAACAGGTTCATATTTGGTAAATTAGAATTTCTCTTCCTTAATGTGTGGCCTTTTCGTTTCCTATTGAAAGCTATTTTTTTTCCTTCAAGCATATCATTGGCCTTGTGAAATTTCTGTTAAAAATTTTCAGTTGTGATGACTACACCCACTGTGCAGTTCCTCTGCTTACTAGCTTCAAAATGGGCGACCACGCTTGCATTTTTTTGAATGAATGTCTTTAATGCTGGTTTGTGGTTTTTTTTTTTGAAAACCAAATTTTAACTTTTTACCCAAAAAGGCCTTTCTAGCATATGACGCGGTGACCGCCGTATCGTGGCGTTGCAGCTTTACTCCTAGACTTGCCGGGTGTAGGAAGAGGTCCAGCAACAGTCTTCTTGAATTTCCGCTGCTTTTGGGGACTTGAAGGTGGCTTACTTTGATGGCCCCTACAAAAAAATTAGTGTGTGATAGCTACCTTTCTAGCAGTTGTTCTTTAGCACCTCTTTAGTCGTTTGTTTTTTTTCTCGTTGTTCGTTGAAATAACATCTAGTTGAAATAAACTCTGCAATCCATTTGTTTCGACTATAACTCGGTGAAATTGTTATTTTATCATCGGAAGCTGAAAATCTTGCTACCTGTTAATACAATTGGGATATTTTTCACCACTGACCGTAAAACGAATTCATTCATCATAGAGCGTTTCTCTCCCAATCTACTGATTTCAAATACCCCTGTGCGAGTTCCCCATTAACTTTTCGGTATTAAGCTCTTAATGTTGAATCAGCTTCATTGCTTTTGAAATTGTGTACCATCTGTAAATCACACGTTTATGATGTTTGGAACCACGTGACGAGTTCCCATCTTGTGTTGTATCTAATCATCTTAACAACGCTTTTATTAACATCTAGTGGTGAGTATTTTTATGCTCTGGAAGGCTGGATCGCCCTACTTCATTCTCAACACTATGCAGAAAACTTAGTGTTACGTGTCTGAGTGCTGAGTTTAATCTATCACTTAGTTGTGGGATACTTCGCCTCCTACGTTTCAAATAGGTACTTTTGATCACCCGAATGCTCTTTTCGAAAAGTCTTGCGTAGTAGCGTCTCATCAAAGGAGCTTCGACCATATGTCATTGCTGGTCACCTACATACCTCCAGTGTTTTTAATCAAAAGGAAAGCTCAGACCCATGCTAATTTCGGAAAACAATACGTTTGCAGTTAAAAATGAGGAAATCCCCCATGTCAAACACATTTGCATGATGTCCCGTTTGAACTTCAAGGCTGAAAACATTCCTTAAAATTAAGGTTTTAGGTAAATGAGAAAGGACTTTAATCTGGCTATGCTAAAAGGAAACATTTTGTAGTGGTTATCACCAGTTATTCCCATAGATTTGCATTTAGGACTCTACTAGCAATTACTTAAGAGGGCTAGTCGTAGAGGCTTAAGGGACATGACCCATGCTACAGTTCTCCAGCGTGGGAAGCATGAAGCGGTGGTGAATGTATCGCGCGATAAAATTTCTAAAGCGAAATAGCCACTAAATACCCACTACAATGTACTTATACATCATAAAGCTTCGCTTCCTCCTATGCATGGTTCCTTTAATTATCAGATTGTTGTAATAATTGCAGAGCTTAAGGAGACATTGGTGTGGTTGGAATTGGCCGAATCTTCGACAGCCTCGAAGGGCTCCACTTACCCTTTAGCGGCCGGTGTGTTCACCATCTACGATTGCCGACGCTTCACTGACTGTCAGGTCTGCTTGAGCAGTCGTTTTGACTGTATGTGGCATCTCATCGAGGGTCGGTGCCTCTCCTCCACGGACTCTCGCAACAGCTATCTCACCTCGCCATTACCGTTCCCACCGAACCGGCCTAAACCCGCACTCATCTGTACAAAATTCGTAGGTCTCACTCCTCTCTCACTCTGTGACGGCTCGCGTACCTTTTTTCGCATCAGTGAATTCACTTTTTGTGCGAAACTGCGAAATTCACTTATAAATTGCATTATGGTGAATCTTGCAAATAAGGCGGTGGTACATCAGATGAACATTGAAGACTGGTAAAATCGGTTACGGAAATTTAACCATGTTAATGCAACACACTTCACCTTATAACGGGATGCGACAAGATACTGCTGTATCTATGATGTGATTAGACAACTTGAACGCATTACACAAGTTCCCACCCCTCTTTAGGGCTTAAAAAGTAGTGCATTAAATTGATGAACGACTTACGGGAAACTCATTTTTGGGGAGTAGCTACATGCGGCTGACCACAAAGTTGTAATGGAGACGACACTTTTATGGCTCTCCTGTTAGCAGGAATTGTAAGATTTCCGCCCTCGTGTACCCATGTTTTATGGCCAAGAAGTAGGCACGCGTCAAGACGTAGGTCACACGCGGTGGGCGTGAAGAGCAAACCATGCGGAAGGGAACAATTAACTCGTCTTTGGGATAACGTGGGAGTGGGAAGCGGTTATTCGTTTCCTCTTTGATTGCACGTGGAATTCAACTCGACTCTTGGGCAATTAAACTAGCTGTTTCTTCAGAATATTACCATACATCGACACCATTTCAGGAGCAATTTTCCATTACTTTCCATTTCTTCTCGTTGAGACTTGTGAAATCGCTAAAAAGGTCTGTAGCTACGTATTTATTTACCCTTTTTTCAGTATTATGACGTGTTAAGTGGCAATTCCTCTCTTAATGAATGTTCCTCCTTGGTTTTACTGCATGTAGGACTGCAAATGTCCCTTATTCGTCGTCGACCAAGTGATTACCACCATTGAAGCACTAAAGCCAGTCTCAGTAGTTGCGAGCGTCTCCAACATACTGGTGCGTCAAGTGCCCTTTACGAAGCCTGGTTTTATCAGCAATTTCCCATACTCTGTGGTATCAGTCTTTAACAGAATGTCTCGATAGAATATTGCCCTAATCACTACGATTCCTTCCGTGTATTCCTTAGATCAAAATTGCTCAATACTAAATGCTAGAAAGATATAATGTGGTCTATCTCAAGTGAATTTCTTACCATTCTCAACAACTGTTGCAGTAAGTTTTGAAATTGTGTTGATGCAAGTCTCTTAGAACTGCTAGAAATTCGTTTAATGGCGGTAGTTCAAGATGTCGACAAAAAAATATGTTTCAGCAGACTATATGAGCAGTGCGATGAAATGTCACAGGTGTAACGGATTTTTAAAACTTATTTATATACCGAACAACCAATTCACAGATTAAAAGTTACAGCTGAAACTCTACAAGAGCAGCACTGTCCTAGACTTGTTCTAGCCAAATGGACCATTGAGGGTACTTTTATCACGGTAGCGGCCTGGATCACCACCCTAATCCATAAGGTGTCTACACATTCAATTATTTTATGATCCTAGTTGGGTTCTTATCACCCGTTTGTATATTGTGGGTGCATACAATAATAATCATGTCTCAAAACAACGCTTTTATATGTACGTCGATTTTGCGTATAGACGCTTGCTGAGCGTTTCTCCTGCTCTGAAAATTGCACTGGTCAGTGGACCACGGGTGTTTACAATCGTACCTCCTCCACTGTTACCTGCAACTTTTCCGGGGTGAGTGTGACTGGCCCTTTTGGTTCATCCTTGTCATTTAGCCTATCAGCCGAGTCTTTTTTTTTTTGAAGTTTCTGGAAGTGCCAGTACTTGTGGCTGTTTTTGATTCCGGATCAAAATATTAAAAACTGGGAGATCATTATCGTCATTTTAAACATGAAATTCACAACTGACTAAGCTTGTCATTCTGTCCGAATTTCGTGAAAAAGTAACCAGTTCATTATTGCGTAAAGAAAGCACTGTTCAAATAGGAAGTTGAGGCATTGCTTAGGGACCCAGGTTGGGTACTTCAAAAATTGCAAAAATTACCAACTTTAATGCCTGAGTGAATCTTAAAAGGTCGGCGTTCGATGCCTCTATTGTCACAGATCTCTGTTCCCGATGTGATTCGCAGTGGTGGGAATGCCACTGGATTGGAGGATGTTGCTACTTGGCACCATAACTTGCTGAACTTTGTGACGTGGGGAGTAGTGAAGTGCGAGATCAGAATCCACTGGCACAACGACCGACTGCCCAGCCAACCGGAGCTAGGCCATCCTCTCGCAAATCTCGAGGCCGCATCGCGTAAGACTCCATCAATCTCGAAATTACAATTTTTGAGGATGCAGAATAAACATGTTTGCACACACCTGTTTATCTCTTTCGAATCCCTCTAAACTCGTAAAATCCTTCTTTGCAATTTGACTTAATTAATTTTTTTGTAGAAATGATGGTACCACTTCGAACATCTAACGAATCCAATTAGGAAATTAGTACAAAAGTGACTTCCCCTTAACAACTTTTTGTGTAACACTTTTTCTTACTGTTTTCGGCTCCAATGTGAGTCTAGAATTCACTCATCTGCCAGCCTTAATTTCACGTTTGATTAACCAAATTTTCTTGTGACACGTAATTACTTGTAGCTGAGGCATCTTCCTGAACGTTAATTTCATGACCGTCTAACATTCGAGGTCTTATGTGCAGTACGGATTGGCCAGCTACCAAAATACGCAGCACCTAATTGTTCGTGGCCATGTCCAAATAATTTTAACGACTTTATTACAAGGAAATATTGCTCATAATCGGTGTTTGAGACAGTTTGTGTTCTGCAAATTCGGTTATAGAAACAATAGACTCAGTGTGTGGGAATTGGTTTTACTTACATTTGATGGTGTAGTGGGGATTGTTGCGTCACCATTTTCCTCAAACCACTTTATTATAAGAGGATTTTCAGGCTTTGAACAGGTGGTTGTTATTCCCAAAGTCATCTCGATGTTAACAAAGCGAACATGTTTGAATTTATTCCTCACCACCAAAGTCTTACTATCTAAATGGGCTTCACAAGCATACCACGTCTCTTCAGTTTAACTTTTGCGCTCAAATACAACCGGAATCTATGGTGTTATCTATCTAGTAAAGCATTACTCATTACAGAACGGGCCAAAAAGCTCCGAACAATGGTCTGAAGATGTGGAATTCTGAATCTTACTTCAGATGTTGTTTTACAAGACTGTAAGACATCCATTCGTCGTAGCACAACAGTCAAATCGCTTCTCCACTGACCACATCGTAATATCATATATTTGCAATACGATCTCACCATGCTATGCATTCAGTGGTGTCACTCGTCATTGCAGTGGAGGTCTTTGAGTGCAGTCGGATGGCGGCTTACTGCGACAGCTGCCTGGCATTACCTCCGCGCTTCGCCTGTGTTTGGTGCTCCACTGTCTCCACACCCACCGCCGCCTTAGAGGGTACAATGGGCTGCTTGCATGCTGAGCGATGCCCACATCTCGCCTCTGTCACCTTCTGTCCCCACCTCCAGCTTCTCAAGGTGACCCCCCTTCCTCCTTCCCTCTATGCAGAATTCACTCCAAAAAGTTTTATTCACAACTGTGCTTGAGGGAAATCTATAAGATCTAGCAATACGATCAAGTTTCATTCGCTAAGCAGGATCATGCGCCATGCTCCGTGTTGTGGTGTTTGAGCTGATTCTTGTATAATGCTTTCTTTAAAGGTACCTTAAACTCAGTAAATGCTGATCTACTTATTAAACATGCTTTCCAAATCGAGGTTAAAGTCCAGTGAGGTTTGTTTAATTCTTCTAGTGGCTTGAGTCTGGCCAGCGGTCAAATTCACAAAGGGCAATCTTGTTCCATACTCTTTCACGTACTCACTATTAGGGTAACTTTGAATTAAACATTATCTATTTGATGATGGGTGCAACGACTTTTCAAAGGAAGAATCGAAGAAGTGGTTGGCGCTTCTAAAGTTACCAATGAAGAAGTATTGTGTGAGCTCATTCCCTTAATTTTTGGGTAGATTTTGAAAAAATGAGATCAGAGGAGTGTTTGTTTCCTTATCGATGTAGGCTTCGTTAGAATCAATTAGTTCCAAACTTCCTCTATTGACTATTTGCTTATATACCTTTTAGGTTATACCAGAAAATGCAACACTGAGTGGCCAAACGCCACTCACTATCCGCGGTCTTAATTTGGGAAGCGAGTTGAAAGATCTGGAGATCACTGCAGTGTTTGCAAACTCAGACATGGAGTCAATCGCATGCACCGTTATACCCGAGGGCTTCCAGCCATCACGACAGGTTACTTGTCGCCTGCAGCCTATGAAGCGTAGGCCTAAGCAACCTGAGGCTCCGCTCAAATGTCATATTACTCTGCGCTTGAGAAAGGCGCATGCACAAGTGGGTGTTGCGCCATGCTCATCACTTAGTTGGACTCACCATCATGTAGTTGTAATCTTCCCATTTTAGACCACTTCCCTTCCCTTTACCTTCCTCTCTCCAAAAATTGAAAGCTTCAGTCCACAAAGGGGTCCGGTTGCTGGAGGCACACTACTAAGGATCTACGGTAGAGATCTCAATGTCGGAGCATTTGTAACAGTTGTCCTTGTCTTGAGCGCGATCGGCGGACAGAATAACGTTAAATGTGAAGTCATATAGTGAGTATATCTCTCATTGCTAATGCGAACTAACTTCCACCTACCTTAGTCTGTCTGCAGGCATCATTACATGTCGAACCCAAGCTATCGATTCCACCTTACTATCGCTTGCGTCGGAGCTCGATAGCGGTGCTACTGATGGAATTCCCTCTTCCGTTGCTTTGTTTCACGACAAAACCTTGACCAAGGCACCCTTTCAGATATTTGTCTACAAACCGAATCCTGCGATCAGAACAGTCTCAAAAACATTAGTTTTCTTAAGGTGAGTGACCCAATTTTCTTTCGATTCATTTTGTTGTTAGCTCTGTCCAACGCTTATTCTTCTCTGTTTAGCGGCGGCACAATTATCCACGTGTACGGTCGATACCTTGATGTGATCGAGAGTCCCCAGATTGTCTTCTACCACAACGGAATGGAGTTTGTTGAAGTAAGGGCCTTATCACGTTCCGACGTAGGCTGACTCTTTTGGTCTCTGACTTACAGAAATCCCATATATATTGTAGGTCTGCCGATATGAGCACGTGTATCTTTGCTGTGTGAGTCCATCCCTCACCCTTGATGTGCGCAGAAAAAGGGCTGCCGATGTTTATTCCAGCACTATTGTTCGTCCCATTACCAATCCGTCCATTATTCCTAAAATTTACTCATTCGAGCACGATGACGATAACCTCGATAACCTTGGCAAAACGAACAGCGCCATACTAGTCCCATACGGATTCATCATGGACAATGTGACAGATGTACTCGTGCTTGGTGCTTTTTCGGTAAGGCATCGTCTGCTGCAACAGTTAGTAAGCAACTATATATTTTATTCAGCAGAACGTTTGTGAGAGGCTATTATCAAGCATGCTGCATATCATTGTCACCTGATTACTAAACATCCTCTACGACGGCGAAACGGAGATAGCAATTTGTTCTTTTCCGGTTTTTGTTGTTTTTTAAGGTCTTCCCGAATCCCGAAGTCTTTCCGTTTGTTGAAGGTCGTCTTATAGAATCATTTACACCTCGTTTATCTTCTGCAACTTCCAAAGAGACGTCTTTTGCCTCCACGGACGGGGGGGTAGTGGAAGGGAACCACTTAGACTCGAATGTAAAGTCAGGGAAATCTTCATCTGTACAAGATCGCCACCTGCTTCGTTTCCATGGGAACTTCGAGGCTTTGGCTGACATGTCAGATTTGCAAGCTCTGGAAGAGCTCTCGATAATCGTCGTTACTGGGACTGCCGAAAACCAGACCAATAGGACTTGCAAGCCCATAATTTTAAAGACTGACGAAATTCGTTGTGAACTGAACCTGAATGATCTTGTCGAGGGGAAGGATTACCCAATCATCATTCAAGTAGGTCAACTCCGACTTTTTATAGACCTGGTTTGTGTAACACTTCGCTGGATTGTGCGTGGTGCATTTTAGTTCGGCAAGTACCTGAAGTTTCGGCCAGGGGTGGTGCAGTTCAAACGCCTTGGGCCACTGGGCGGACGCGACCGTGCAGTCATCGTGGCCAGCTCGCTGATGGGCGCCGTCACCCTCATGGCCTGCCTCTTCCTCGCCATGTGGTGCCGCTCCAGACGTACCGAGCGCGACCTTGAGAAGCGCTTCCAGATTCGTTGGGCAGAACAGGAAAAGTGTGTCGCTCGCGCTTTCAAAAATGGTACGCCTTTTCTTCACCTCTCCTTAAATTTTTTACGAATTTCACTTATTGTAGTAATGTCTCATTTGATCTTGAAGATATTATGCACAGTATTGGTCTCAAATTGGCTTTATTTTAGCGATTTAGAAAGGCGGATTGCCAAGCAAACCGTATTAAAAAGTTTATTTTGATGTGAGATGAGTAATATTTCAAAGCAAACAGTTTCTACCTATAAATCGTATTTCGGAAGTACATGTTGTTGGTGGCGAAACTCATTTACATGAACTAATTAATTTGGGAAACTTATAAGTATATTTATTCGGACTTTAGCCATTATGTTCTCCCTTTTGCTACCTCACCGTTGTTCAACCATCTATCTGGAGTATTTTTGGCTTTGTGTCTTCTAATTTTACGGCTTGGTAAACGGTTCGGTAGGATTGGTGTGGATGTGGTACTTTTTACTGTGTGTAAAAACATTTTCTGTTCTGATCGCAGTTCAACGCTTTTCACTGCACGAAATAACTGTAAAGGAAGTGTCACAAGTCAAAGTAATTTTCACTTAGTTTTTAAACTACGCGTCTCCATGTTTCCAGACTTTTAAACTGTGTGCATTTCTTTACTGACTTTGTAAGCGTAAAGTCTAGGAGGTCTGATTTGTAAACACACTCGTAGTGGGGACATTGCGCTTATTTACCAAACCCTTCGTGGAAAAGGCAAACAACGTCGAGTGCCTCCTCGCGCCTTTTCATCTGAGCTCTCCCAGATGCTCTTTTTTTAATCAGCATAACCATTTCTGTCTTCAGGTCGTGGGTTAAGAAGCCTACTGACAGTGTTTGTGTGTGTGTGTGTGTAAGATTTCATAGAGCTACAGACACACGTGGAGGAGATAGTGCAAGACCTGAACAGGAGCAGTCTGCCGATAAGGGATTACCAGACGTACTGCCTCTTCTCTCTCTTTCCTGAGTATCACCTGAGTCTAGTGCGGCCCTCCGACCCACACGATATGCCGCCGCACACCGCTGGACCGCGTCCTGACAGCCTCGAGGATGTCTCTGTCTCTACCCTACTCCCACACCCTCTAGTCTCCGTCTTTAAGGTGACTATAACCTCAATCACTGTTTTCTTTCTTACTAACAAACACAAACTTCATGAAGGGAAGCTTACCATGAACAGCATCCTGGAAATGGACGAACACCCGCTCTTAATATTTGTTTGTTCGGTATCATATTGAAACAGTAGATTTTTCACATAACCGAAATGGTTTCTCTTTTCGATGGCAAGGCAAGATCTCAGTGTATTAATCATGGCCAGTTTACGCATGGATATTCCGTTATATTTGTGACTAAATTTTGAGTTATTGCTAAGAGTTGAATGACTTTAAATAGAATTAACCCCTATTTATTGAACACCCTTCATCGATTTTGGGCATTTATTACGTCCATTCAAGTTCAAAAGTTAATTAATTCGCTTTGTTTACTCGTTTTGTGGTGTTCTTGAAATATTTAGCACTGATTATGAAAGAAATGGAGAAGTGTACATAATAAAAAATGGTTTCGCATTTATCCCGCATATGAGTAAAAAGCTGTGGATTAGTGTTTACTTGCCGTATCCAACTGAATTGACTCCCACTTATTTTGGCTTTCTCCCCAGTCTCAACTAATCAACTCGTTATTGCGCAGCAATTCGTAGTCACCATGCCACTTTTCTCGTACCCCGTAACAATAGGTGCCCGCGAATGTCCAGGAGGTCGCAGATCGAGGTATATTCCTCTTCAACCGACTCCTTCACAATAACCATTTCCTCTGTCTCCTTGTCCATGCAATCGAGTCCAATCGAAACATCGATGCACGCGCTAAATCTCAAATTGCCTCACTCCTCTCCATAATCCTGCATCCCGACATGGAATACTTTACTCAGTAAGCTAGAACTCCTACTAATCTTTGACGAGTAGAAAGAGTTGTTATAGGGTCGTGTGATTTGTTGTGCTTTCCAGGATAATCCTCTCACTTATCACCGATCTTCTGCGAAAGTCGCGTGACCACGGAGGTGACAGTCGTCTTTTAACGGCCTTCCGACGAGCCGAGTCAGTGATTGCGAAGATGCTCTCCAATTGGTTCACCTTTCTTCTCTACAACTTCATCAGGGAGCACGCCGCCGAACACCTCTTCATCCTCTACCGTGCACTTCGACAGCAGATCAACACGGGCCCCCGCGACGCTGTCACCGGCCTTGCTCGCTACACTCTCGACGCCGCAACCTTACTCAAGAGCGACCTCCTTTCCCGGCCCATCGTCGGTTTATCTTTCCCCTCCAGTTTAACTCTACTGATAACATATGCATTGCTAGAGTTACACATTTACTATAGTCTGTAGGCAACTTCACCGGCTTGATCAGTCATATTCGCTTGTCCAGAAAGTCATGATGAAGGACGTTGAGATACCAAAGTGTTTCAGAATGATTCAAAAGACAAAGGACTGTTTTTTTCAGATGCTTTTGGTTGTGGATCCGGAGGGTCTGTTCGGGCCTCTCTGCCCCGCAAATATGGCTGTGCGTGTACTCTCCTGTGATACCGTGACTCAGGCTAAGGAGAAGATCCTGGACGCAATCTACCGAAACACGCCCTACAAAAGCCAGCTTCGTCCAACGGATGTTCATCTAAGTGCGTTGACATCTTTATTAAACACTTTACTTTCTAGTAAGTTCGTGCTCAGAGTTAGAAATTTACATTCACTACATTTCTTTTTATGATGGTTTCATTTAATCAGCGCGCTTTCCTTCACACAGCAATAGCAACAGCAACTGAAGATAATTGCAGCCGAAGTAACTGAGCAGTATATTAAATTTTGATAGTAGAAAAAGGTAATTTCAAGTGTAATCATGATGAAATACTTTCTTATTTACCCCTCGAATGGTGGGATGAAAAAATATAAGTGTAACCTTTTGTATTTGTTTATTTGTAGAAAAGCTTGTCGGCGCTTTTGACAGTGGCACTGAATGTAAGTTCTTGAACTCATAAACCTACCGCTTATTCTATAAAGGCACGGGTAACGCGGTCGGTTGGTGTCACACCTCTTCCATAAAGAGGGTCATTTTTCCCAGCATGGACCAAAATGACCCTTGCCTTACTTACCTGCACAAAGTGCAAATAAGGCATCGAAGCATCTCCTAACCTTGGTCCCTATTAAAACCATGAGGATTTCCATCTCTCCAAATCGTCGCGAAATAGGATCGCGTCTTCCGTTTGCATTTGTGGCTTTAAATGGGCAGCGCTGTTTGCAATCATGGTCTTTCTTCATTGTTACATGTTTGAACCGATTTTCTCAATGAAGTTTCAGGATCCTTTGAAAAAGCAGCCGATTTGCTCATGATGGATTGGGACCTGGACGTGAGGCGGGATGCTACGAATGCGTCGATCGAGGGTCCGCCCTATCGACTTAATTGCCTAAGTGATTACAAGGTATTTATCGCTCACCCTTCAAATATGTTTTCTTTAAAAAGAGAAAGTGGTTGGAACAAGCATAGTGTGATATTGTGGAGTGTTTCGTAGTTTTTCCAATTCATTAGTTCTAATCCTTTTCCTCAGCTGAATTCGGAACCTTTAATGTCCATTAAGCGCTAGTATCACAATCTCCTTGATGAATGGGGTTATTTGTGTGCCTTAGCATTAAAAATAGTCGAAATCGGATAGACATCATAGTGCCACCATCTTTATTAGGCCGGCTAAAAGAGCCACTAATAATTGTTGTGACTTTGGGACTTTTAAAATGATGGCAGACACTAAGAGGGTCATTTGGGTCACAGATGACTGACAACGACGTGGTGGCGCTGGTGCGCGCCGGAGAGTCCCTTCTTCTCACTAATGGTGGTGGCACGCTACCTGCTGCCGCGTCCAGAGTAGCTCACAGTTGTACATCTCCCAGCGGGAGCCTTCCTCTGCCCTTGCACCAGCCACTCCAGCCACCACCTCTTCTCAACAGTCACCAGCAGGCTCCTTTCAACATGCGCCCCACCGGAGGGCCCAGCGCTCTCCTCTGGTACCACCTTGAAAGACCCACAAATGCAGACCTACAGGTAACTCTCCCTCTATACTAAGCCATTTATTTTACTTTGAATGACACGGCCTCTTTGAGCTTACCAGATGCAGCAATTGCATTTATGCTTTAAGGCATTGTTGAATTTACCAGTAAAAGTTCTGTCAGTTATGGGAGTGCACGTGACCATTGTAGTGGTAACATCAGCTTCCTAAAGTTAAAGCTACACAAAAGGTGGGCGCGCTAGAACTAACGTATCAATAGTTCATTAATATTTTTGTGTGCCGCGCATGCATTCCATAAAAGAGACAAAAATTATGCTAAATTAATTAATGGACGAAGCTGCACACTGTTTACATTTGGTGCCCCAGTACAGGTATGAATTTGTTTTTGAACTGATTTTAGGTGACGGAAAGGAGCGAGTGGGCGAGAAGGGAGAAGGAGGAGCGGGGGTTGAGCCACCAGCGCCCCCTCTGTTGTCACCCACGCTCCCGCTTGATGTCATCTGCGTCGCACCCGAGTCCTTCATCGTCATCACCAACCTTACCGGCGCAACAGCAGCAGCCGTGTGGCGGTCTGGACGCGCGTAGTCTGCGGCGGTGGCTGGCGACGGAGATGGCGGACACAAGCACTGTGGAGCGCGCACGCACCTCCCAACGACGGCATCGGCGCTCCCTCGGGAAACCTGGAGGTCCACGCTCCGACTCTGGGGCTGCTTATGAGATTGTCGAATTGTCCAACAACTGGTCGGACGAGCCCGACGCCGCCATTGATCGACCTATGGCGAAATTGCCGTGCGAAATTTTCCTTAATCGGTTGCTTAGGACTCGGGTTAGTTGGGCCATCATTCGAATCCGTTTTACCAGTGTTATTTTTGATCATTTACTTCGCTTATTTTAGACTTTTGTTGTTACTGAACTTGCTTATAGTTCTAGGATCGGCATAAATAATATGAAATCAGTATTTTATATTTTAATGAGGTGGTCTTTACTCTTTTGTCGGTGGCTTATGTGGTACTGCTCGGTTCATGCACGTGCTGGTTAAATTCGTGCAACAATATTCCATCGGTATGGGCAAAGGTTAATGTGGAAAATAGCATCCCCCTTACCCTTGAGAGTTCCAACTTTGGCCTTTGCCATTAATATTCCATTTTCTTATCTTCCATGCTAATTTCAATATGATTGAAGCTGATAACATATTCAACCATGGTTTTTATCACATCCAACTGCCTTATTTATTTGCTCTATCGTACTTTCGGCGTCATCAAAAATATGCGGAAACACAGTTGTGTATATGGTAGATCTTGTTTATTGTCTTGGAGTGTTTGCAGGATTCTAGAATGAATTGAGTGGTCCTCCATTATATCCATTTTGCTATCCACTAGATTCCTCTAGTCATATGCCGTTATTATTCCCGCAAAGTTTTACCACAAGCAGCTTAAACTTACCAACTATGCAGCTGCTTGGTATTTCGAGACAATCAATGTCACACCAATGATGGGTTGTTATTGCTAATAATGCATTAATTGGGATATTTGGTTTTCATGGAAATGAAATGTTTGGAGTATTATGAACCTTGTATGTGTCATTGCCTCACGTGTTAGTTGTCAGGTCTGCGGACACTGTTTTGCCATATTATTTTAAGCATTGACTGTTCAAACATATTTTTTGAAAATGCTATCTGCCTTTAGGCCTTATTGGTTAACCGTTGGAATGAGTCACTCAGACGGTTTTAAAATTCGGTCACTTTGATCTGCAAAAGATTGCCGATCTTGAGGTGCCACTAAGGTAAAATTCGTTGTAATGTATACACATTGTGTTAGGAGATCGGGTGTCTCGTGCTTCGAGCTTTCTGACTTATGAGGTACATCTCAGTAGCTAAATATACATAAGTATTCATGGAGTTTTGAGTGCATTCTCTCCTCTTTTATCGTCACTTAACCGAAAGTCAACAACCTATAACTAAGATAGGAATCATCTTTCCTTTGTTTCTAACAATTGATTTAGATATTTTCTAAATGCTTTCACTCCGCCTCCACAACATCATTTTTTTCACTTTTTTATCTCCAGGTTTCGGTGGCGAAATACACGGATAGGGTGGTGGAATTGATTTTTGGCGCAGTGATGGACTCACAAAGCCCACCTCTTTGCATCAAATTCCTCTTCGACTTTCTAGACCAGCAGGCTGAAGCACTCGGTATCCATGACCCCGGGGTTCTGCACGCCTGGAAGGCCAACTGGTGAGTCGGTTACCTTTCTCAAGACTGACAAAATAAAGTATTTAATAATATTCATCCTCCCAATTTTTTCGTTGAAGTATTCTAAAATTATTTTTGGGACAAAGTGTGCATTGATTTATGATTTTACACCTTTGTCTCAACCACTACAGTCTCCATCTGCGATTTTGGAACCAGATTCTAATCAACTTGGACTACGTCTTTGACATTCCTCTGTTACGTAACACAGCGCTTGAGAGGTCGTTCCACTCGTTTAGCCAGGCCATCACTTACGCCTGCTCTCCCGTGCTCGATAAGGTGACTATGGATTCACCCATCAACAAGGCACTATTTTCCAGTGACATTGAGGTACTTCCCAGCTCTGATTTTTGACCCTCGTGATAGCAAGCTCGTAAACTGACTTAATGAACCTATAGCATCTGTGAGCGACTTTATTAGGGTACCTAATCAGTGGTCATATCTAGCAAATGATTAGCAAAGTAACACTTTTGCGTATAAATGATAAAGTCGGAAAAACTGCAATGAAGGATTTTACGGGGCCACTTGCGCATATAGTCGTCATAAGCCTCATACAAGTAAGATATCTTTCGGGCTTTGCACAAGTCTTTATCAATTCAATGAAAACCATTTAGGCATATTTTAATACCAGAAGCACCATTCAAACCATCAGCTTTGGTATTTTCATTTAACGCGGTTTCATTTTTTGCCAAATCCTCTCCAAAATACAAGGTTCAAGCTAAACTTACCTTTCTAAATTCGCATCTGCAAAATGAAAAAATTTCCATTTTAATGCATTTACCAAAACCAAATCCTTTTGCTGGTTACCTTTCCAATGAAGTTCCTCTAACTATAAAGCAATAATGCAGGAGTAACCGGGACAGAAACGGTTCAACACTGCTATAGAGTGATTATATGTTGTTCCTTAAATATGGATTCACTTAAATACTAAATATTATTGTTCCATTGAACAGCCCAATGTATCTTGTTTTTAGTTGTCGGATAAATATTTTCTGACTAGTACATAAACTTAACACAAATTGCTATCGGTACATTTGAAATACAGCAGCCACTGTAATTTTTAAATACCTTTGCGTTTTCAGATGATGAAAGTATTGTCATATGGTCGGAATTGTGAAACTGAGACTATAGGTTTAGAGCTACACACACTTGGTGCAGGGATCTTAATATGGTTTCGTGCATACCTTAAAAATTAAAATATTGTGCCTATATTACCGAATTCTGAGGCCCGATAAAGGATTGTTGAAATTCAAGACTGAAAACCTAGACCTTCGAGGGGAGGTGCTGTTTTCTACATCCTGAAGAAGGACTAGCTCCGTGGGAATCAAAGCGAACAGTGTCAAATCAATGAAAATTATCAGATATGCTAATTTTCTACTATGAATCGATCTTTTAGGGGAATTTCGATTTTTCCATCATTCAAACTGTTAAAAGGATGGTTTAGTTGCCTGATCAAAGCAAAAATTGGCAAGGAGCAACCGGTTGCCTTGCACTAGGGTTATTTCACACGGATGAATTGGTTTTCTTGTTTCTGGTGGTTGCTATTCTTATGTAAATCGGGTAACAGCACTGCCATGGCTGTGTGTGTGTGTGTACGTACACTTTGTTTGCACCTTCAGCTTTTACTACAGCTTAGCTGGATTCGGCTATTTTCTTCGTCCGCAGGAACAATTAACCATCCTTATGATGTATCTCAAGGCTTAGGTAGCATTCATTCTGTAATGAAAGTTGACATACACATAAATTATCGGATGATGGTGTGAATATTTGCTTTC